TAGTTTTCGGCTTTATTGCACTGTAAAGGGTCAAATTGAAATATGTGGAAGTGAAAAGAGTTATTTCTCAATTTACAAATATTTACGGTGATGTTATTTTTTCAAAGGCCAAAAGCCCATGATAGACCAGGGAATGTAGGGGTATGCATGCATAATTCTTCGATTAGGCTGAGTTTTGTGAGCAGATAGTAAAAATAGTGTAGAATAATATGTAACGTATCCGCACGTTGAAACATTGTTTAAAAGTTGATCAAACATTAGAAATTCGCGTTTTTCGACTGTAACTTTTTTCTGACCGTTCTACAGAGAAATTGTAAAATACTTTTTGGTTCGTCTTTAAAAGATCTACAAAACGACGTCTTGAGCGTCAAAAAATATCAATCGGGTCAAGTTATTTGCAAAAAAACCGGTAATTATTTTAAATAAACAATAATAAATCGCGACAGAGGTTTCATAGTCCAGTATACAACAGTATACAACGGTAAAAACAGAGTATTACCTCCGAATTCTTGACACACACACCGATTATCATGAAACTTGGTGAGTAAGCTCATTTCACCCTCCTTTATAAAAGTTACATATCCATAATGTGTGCTTATTGTTTTTAGGGGGTGAAAACTACCCCTTCTTGCAAAAAACGTAAAAACCATAGATTTAAGTGTTATGCCATTAAAATAAGCATTCTTTTATGTTTTGAATAATAAGTTTTGATTTGTAGCAACATTTCAACCCTTAAAATCCACCGTTTATGAGGAAAAAAAAATCAAAAATTAGTTTTCGCGGCTCTGAAATGTTTTGACGGAGCAATAATGAAGAATTGAATATTTTTTACTGTTTATGAAGTAATACATGATTTATTGCAACGTTTCAACCCATAAAAACCACTCTTATTGCAGAAAATAAAGCAAACAATTTTTTTCACATCCTAGCATTTATAATGAATTAAAGACTCATCACTGTTTATAATATTACTGATGATTCTTTGCAACGTTTCAACCCTTAAAAACAACCCTTAATGAGGAATTGAAGAATTTTTACCTGCTTCAAAACACTCAACGATACATTACTAAATTCAACTAGATTACTTAAAACTCGAAACTTAAATTATGTAATTAGTGAAAGGGAAAATAAAAAATATTTGTGTATTATACAAAGTGCCTCATAATTAGCTGCCAACCCTGAACAGGCCGATTCTATGATCAAAACTAAGTAAAAAAGTTCATATGAACATGGGTCCGGAAATGCTTCCTAAGGGCACAGGGACCCATTGAAGAGGGAGGAATGGAAATCATTTTTTTGCAATATCTCTCAATCGCGTTGTGATAAATGAATGAAATTTGGTATACACAGCTAAATTTTGATGAGCAATTTGATGGACTAATCCATTTATTTCCACAAGGTCCATTGGGGTGGGTACGGGGGGGCCCTTGGTACTTTGCGTGTGTAACTTTTTCATCTTTGACTTTTTAACAAATTGGACAGCAAATTCCGTTTTCCCGAACTGTTTTACGTTAAAAAGGTACTCTTGTTTCAAATCGTTATCTTTAACGGTTTCTGAGAAAATCGCTCTTGAATTAATCCCACTTTGGTCAATTTCATAGTAATTTAAACAAAAAAAAATATTTTGTTTCAATTTAATCTAGTTTTAATAAAAAAATAATAATAAAAAATTAAATTAAATAAAAATTAATCCTTTAAATGGAAAAGAGAGGAAAGGAAAATTATTATTATTATTTTTTGTTTAAATTACTATGAAATTGACCAAAGTGGGATTAATTCAAGAGCGATTTTCTCAGAAACCGTTAAAGATAACGATTTGAAACAAGAGTACCTTTTTAACGTAAAACAGTTCGGGAAAACGGAATTTGCTGTCCAATTTGTTAAAAAGTCAAAGATGAAAAAGTTACACACGCAAAGTACCAAGGGCCCCCCCGTACCCACCCCAATGGACCTTGTGGAAATAAATGGATTAGTCCATCAAATTGCTCATCAAAATTTAGCTGTGTATACCAAATTTCATTCATTTATCACAACGCGATTGAGAGATATTGCAAAAAAATGATTTCCATTCCTCCCTCTTCAATGGGTCCCTGTGCCCTTAGGAAGCATTTCCGGACCCATGTTCATATGAACTTTTTTACTTAGTTTTGATCATAGAATCGGCCTGTTCAGGGTTGGCAGCTAATTATGAGACACCCTGTATAATTATACTTTGTTATCAAAAATTTACATATCATCTAAAGAATTATCATCACTGTCGACTTCCTCTGTTTGGTCCGTGATTGGAGGACAATTTTGGCAACTGTTCCCAGAACACGTTTGGAAATTAAGCCATTTACACGATCCGACAATTGTCACTGAATAATACAATTCAGTTTTTCACGATAACTTTTTTAATTTTTAATATTTTTCATCGCTCCATAAAGCAGTTTGCAGGGAATTGCAAGAGCTACAAGTCAACCTCTATAGTTGAAGGGTGTTGAACTCTTCGTTTTCGAGATTTTTAGGTTTTAAGTTCTCAAAGAAGGTGGTCCTTACACGCAAATGCAAAAATGTAATATCTCAGTTAATTTTTGCTCTACAGAAAAATTGAAAAGGAGCAAAAATATTACAAAAAAGAGGACCTTTAATTTTTCACGTATCTTCTTTAGTTTTTGAGTTATTTCGAAAAAAAGGAAATTTTTGAAAAATAAAAAAAAAAATTTCATAATTAGATTTTATGGTTGATTTTTTTCTCCGAAAAAATTAGATGACCATTTTATTTTCATCATAACTCCGCGAGTTTTTGAGCTACAAAATTTTTTCAAAAAGCATTTTAAAGGTCATTCCAAGCACTTTAAAAAATATTATATTCATTTTCTTCGAAAAATTAGTTCTTTCGTCATTACTTTACAGTAAATGGTTCGATTTTACTTTCCGAAAAATAAACAATCACCTTTAGAGAGTGATAACTCAGTTATTATTACATCTACGGTAATCAACATCGCTTCGTTATTTCAAAAGCTTTATTTTTGCTTTATATGGGTTTTTCGATAAAACGCAAGGTTTTCGAGTTATTTATCAAAAATGGTTGAAAAACATGCACTTGTTAGATGAAAAATCAACATTTACGCCCTTAATTTATATCTTTTTTAAGTATTTTGTTACATGTACTAAAAGAGCATAAAAAAACTTCAATCTGGAAAAAGATTCGTCACGATTCGCTAATAAACAGCGGAGTTATGGGCTTTCAAAGTTAACGGTTTATTATAGAATAATTCTATAACTATACTATTTATTTTATTGACTGAACACACTGTATAATAGTCAAACCTGATAATATTTTCGCTTCATAAACGATTCATACGTACCATTTAAGAGAGAATATTACAAAACAGTTTATTTTGCGTAAAAATAATAAACACCAAATAACGTGCAAGTTGTTTTCAAACTCGATTGTATATTTTTGTACTAATATCTAAACTTTTATTTTATAAATTACACACAAACATGTTTTTTGTACCCCTGATATCTGCGGTACGGGTTCGCAAATATGTTTTGATGGACGTGTGTGAAAATAATCAGATCGTGACGTCGCCAACTACGTTTTAATAAGGTTATAGGTTATCCGGGCGATAAGCGAATGAACCCGATAAAAATGCAAAGGATGCGAAAAAACTGCCCAATCGGGACCGAAATTACAAGGCCGATTTATTGTTTGAAGTCGTTCGTCCTCGTCTATACAGTTTGTTTGATTATAAAGGCCGCGAGATATAACTCGGTTACCCGTTTTTGGACACCCTATAAAGTACATATATCTTTAAAAGTGGGTGTTATTTTTTTTATACTGACGCACAATTATTTTTTTCGTCACACTGGATGAGTGATGAGGTCATTGATGTTTTTTTTAAATGGGATTTTATACATGTTATTGCACGTTTTGACTAATTTTTTTTTATTTTCTTTCCAACCATATAAAATTTGTATGACTGCATAACGAAATTTTTGAGAAAAAGGTTAGAAAACTTTCAGCTTTTGACTTTAGTTTACGGCGCTCGCTACCAACCAGTCGGCAAGAATACCCTTTCTATGATTCCTAACAAGACTGCACAGTTTTTGAAACTAGAACATCCTGAAATATATACAGGTCATGCATTCCGAAGAACATCGGCAACGTTACTGGCTAATACAGGAGTTGATGTATTAGCAATCAAGAGACGTGGTGGGTGGAAATCAGCCACAATTGCAGAAAGTTATGTCGCTGACAGTTTAAGTAACAAAAATGAAATAGCCAACAGGATTCTTTACAATGACACTTCAAGTCTAGGTTCTAGTAGTACGTCGCATCACGCTGTTTTAATGGATCAGTCAGATAACATTGAGCCTCCGGTCAGAAAAACGCGAGGGGAATAATTATCCAGATTTTATAAGTGTTACTAAATGTAGTAACTGTACAATTACTATAATTATTCATTCATAGTAGTTAAAAAAATTCATTAAATTTTTCTATTTATTTGTTCATAGAATATGCATTTATAACTCGAAATCGCATTTTTTTTCCTTTTTTTCCCCGTTGTTCATAGCAACTTCTACTTCTAGGGTAAAATCCACTTATCTCCTTCAAAACAATATATTAATAGTATATTTAGTACTGTGGAAGCAGATAAAACTGTTTTTTCAGTGTTTTCAATTTGATATCATTTAGAAAGCGAACACCGTAAACTAAAGTCAAAGGCTGAAAGTTTTCTCATTTTTTCAAAAAAGGAAAGAATAAAAAAATCAATGAAAACAAGCAAAAAATTTATATAATCCCATTTAAAAATATATATACTTTACAGGGTGGTCAAAAATGGGTAACCGAGCTCGGGGCCTTTATAATCAAACACACTGTATACAGAGTGTTCCAAAATATTACGTAAACAAGAGTTAAAGTCCAGTTCAGAAAACTAATCTCGACTATTTGTTTGATTTAAAAGAAATCAGATTCGGTTCGCAATACAATTAATTTATTTTTGTTCCAGGCACACGGCAGTAGACGTCGACTTGAAACCCAAAGAACTAGACACCTTCGGCCCCAAAACTAACGCCTTCTCGCCGACCTACCCGAAAATACACGCGCCCCCCAGCGATGTGGCGCGAGCGCAAGTCGAACTAGCCCGATCCTTACAGGAAATCGCCAAGTTGCCGCCCGCACAACCCAGGTACGATGTGACACGGATGCTGGCCGAGGGTAACCGAACGCCAGCCGAGACCGCCCGAGCGCACAAGGAACCAGTCGAGGTGGCACGGAGACGCCAAGAAGTAGCGAGGCCGAAAACCGACGACGTCAGCCGATCCGAACCGAACCAATTTGAACCTGTGATATTAAACTCAGTGCCTTCCGTTCAGCGTCAGTGCGAGGATATCTCGAGCATGCACGTGAAGGATGTCAATCCCAAGATGCTCATCCAGTCGAAGTCTTTGGCCGCGATGGAACCGAACCGACCCATATTCCCGAATTGTCAGTTTTCGCCGTACAACAGCCCCACGAACAGTCCGAGGAGCAACAGGAAGAGGCAGCCGTTGAAGGAGTCGAGGAGAGTGAGCATAGAGAAGTCCGGGACTTACCTCCAGCTCAACCAGTACAAGCTGATGGACAGCATCGGGCAGGTGGGTGGTTTTTTCACGTTGATCTCGCTTCGTCGGTTCTATAAGCTGCGCTTTGTGTTAGAAATGAAATTGTTTTTAATTTCAGGGATCTTACGGCATTGTCAAGTTGGCTTACAACGAAGAAGACGACACGCACTATGTAAGTAAACATTTTTTTGTGATTACTTAAGGAGGTATATGGGGGTCCGAGGGAAGTGACAGACAGACCTCGGACATCGGAGATATTGCGCGTCAAATTCAGGTAAAGATGCGTACGCGTTCAAAAATGTATTGTGTGTACAGCTGACATTTGAAAGACTTGATAAAAACGAAATTAATTTCAAACATATACATTTTTCCTAAATCCCATGTACATTGTTATCAACAATAAATTATCCACAACAGATTTTTTTTTTGTAATGTTTTTAAAAAACTCGAATAATTAAAAAAGACTAGGAAGCTGTGATATATTTATTGCAATAAAAAATACAGTTGATAAATCCTTTTAATATATTTAATGGTTTATAAAAACATCGTAATCCGTACCCAGCAATATTTAGGGTTACATAAAGTTTTCTTTACTTGATTAATATAATTAGTAATACTTGAGATAAAAGCATTTGCACGGAATAACAAAGGAACATAAATATTTCTCAGCAAACTTTATATCTAAGAAATTAGTTATAGTTGCAAAACTTTTGTAACATTACTAAAATAGAGATTAAAAACACGAACAGTGAGTAATAATGTAATTTCTATCACAGAACCTTCAATATAATTATTATATATATCAAATATATCGTATTATCCTCGGGAAGATTTGTATCCTTTATTTAAAATCCGTAAATCATGTGAACTGGTAAAACAACGAGAATTATGTTAATTTAGTTCTAAAGAAATGAAATGACACTCGCGCCCATCTCTCGTCCAAGTCAAAGAAAATGTTGGATGCAATTTTGAAGGTTCTGTGATAGAAATTATATTATTACTCACTGTTCGTGTTTTT